TAACTCTAAACGTGGTGTAGCTATTGCTGAACGTGACCATCAAGAATTTGAAAAGCATGCTTATTTTCGGCAAGATGTTAAAGATTTTCATTTACCTTTGACTGATAGATCTAGAGCATAGATTAAGGGTCTTCGTATAAATGATGATATTTATAATAATACTCCTACCCGATTAATAGGTATGTCTCTTAATGAAGCTGTAAAACAAGCATTAAAAGGAAAAAAAATAATAGCTAGACCTTCGGTAAAGCACAGGAGACCAGTTGGTTATAATGAATCTCTTTTACCTAGTTATACTGAAGTTCGACATTTATTAGAACCCGGTGAATTAAAAGGTGGGAGAAGAAGGGTAACTGATTGCAATTGGTCTCCTGAAGTTTTTACAATTGATTCTTATTTGATAAAAAAAAATCAGCCTATTCTCTACAAGCTTTACAAGAGTCCTAGATGCTCATTTGTAAGAGAAGAACTGCAAATCTTCCCGCCAGACACAGTATTACCACCCAAATATATTCTCAAAAATTAGTCTTATCTCCTCTCTCCTCTACTTGGTATAGGATCTGTTTGAAAGCACTGCTTAAGTAATCATCTATTTCATTTCTATTATAAAAAATAATTTGCGTATTTCTAAGCCAGTCAGTTCGTGAATTCTTTTTTCCCTGTTTTTTATTTCCAGGTTTATCATCTATAAGAAATTTGGTAAGAGAACATAGAGCAAACTTAAATTGTCCACACTTATCGAATTCCTTTTCAAGTATTTCTCTAAACTGCTTTCTTCAGCTTTCTAACATTTTTCATATATCACTTCCATTATCTGGATGAGAACTTTTGCACGATGTATGGCTATAGCTCTTCTTTTAAGTGCTATTCCCAATTCTTCTTGCTCCCTAAATTCTAAATTTTTTTTTAATCTTTTATACTTCTTAATTTCATCTAAGCGCTCAAATTCTTTGTTAATTAAATTCTTAGATTTGTTATCATTTCTAAATACTTGCGTTCTAGGTCCTGGACCAGCCTCTGGTCTGTTTTCTAATTTCTCTTTTGTTGATAGTCTAACTGCTTCTAAATCGTATTGTTTAAGATCATGATAAAGGGTCAAACAGTCATCCAAATTTTCTGTTTTAAGACATTTACCTAGACCAAGTTCTTTCCATCTTTTTTGTAGTCATGTTCCCCATGTTCTAAAATGTTCACCAGATTTTCGGACATTTGGGTTAACCCATTTGTCTGCCTTCTCCTGGCTAATATAGTCTCTATTCTTTTGAATGGGTTCTTGGATAGCCACTTGAACAGGTTTTTGAATATCCTCTTGAATGGGTTGTTGGTTAGCTTCTTGTAATGGTTTGCATAGATTTTTTACTTAAGATGCTCACGAAGTTTTTGAGATGTTGAGCATTCACGACCACAACGTTTACAGATTCTAACTTTCTTATCACTTCTTGTTTTTTTAACCATAGTGTTAGCTCTAACCGTCGCGCTTTTACTTGTTTATAAAAATTTTTCTTTAATTAATTATTTCCTATTCTTTTCACTTTCCAATTATAGAGTTTCTACCGAAGGCAGTATTTTAAGGCTTGCCAAAATGGTTCTAGCTATCCTTCCCAAAACTGAAGTATTAACTAATTATTAATTAATCTTTTGAAATTTAGTAATAAAAAATAAGATGATCGGTGAATATTCCTGCCCATATCTCTGCAATACCGGAAAGGCTTGTAGGAGAGCTTGCATTTGCCCTGAAGGTTGCCGATTTTATTAGAAATCAAAAAACCGGATTCCATGCTCTGATTGCGGGAAGCCAACTTCTTCAGCTTGTGGACGATGCCTGTTAGATATTAGAGGTTATTATGTTATTTAGTATTATGATAGGCTTTGATCAAAAATATGAGAAGGTAATGGAAAAATCGTTTTAGCAAGCACTATACTTTAATTTTAGCCAGAATTTTAGGCGCAATATTTAACGAGTATTAGCTAAATTTTCGTTAGACTTTTATATTTTTTTCATTAAAGTTTCATGATTAATATGCTATTTGATGAGCTTGCACAAAATCTGTTCTTGACTAAGGAAAAGTTGGGACAAAAAACTTGTTAGACTTATTTAATAATTTTGCTATTTAATGAGCTAGCTCATATAGAAGCTATTCTTGTCTACAGAAAAGTTTGTTAGATTTAAAAGGTTATGTGATTCTTGATATGATACTTACTGTATAGACCCCTTTAGAAGCAATTCTTGAATAGTTAGAGATATTCATAAATAAATCTAACGAATCTAAAATCGTCAATAAATATAATTAAAAAATCGATATAATTTCAAGACTTTTGGGAGCCCCAAGAATGTATTCCTGATATATTTATAAATTGTTAGACTTATTTATGAGGTAATAAGGACAGTTAGACTTAAATAAATCTAACCAAAAATCAATATAGTTCCTGATCTTTGGGAGCCTCTGGAATATATTCCCAATATTTAAATAAATCTAACTAAAAATCAATATAATTCTTAGTCCTTTAAAGCTCTCAGAATATATTCCTAATATATTTATAAATCGTTAGACTTAATAAATCTAACCAAAAATCAATATAGTTCCTGGCTTTTAGAAGCCTTCAGGATTTTTTTCTGATATATTAAAATATCGATATAGTTTTTAGGCTTCAGAAGCCTCCAGAATATAATCCAATCAATATAGTTCCTGGGTTTTAGAACTCTCTAAGATTTATTCCTAATATATAAAATATCAAAATAGTTTTTTGGGCTTTAGAAGCCTCTAGAATATGATTCTATTATACTTTAAGTCTAACTGTTCCAAAACCCCCAGAATGATATTGTGTGTGAATATATCTGATATATGGAAATTATACAGTCCCTGCTTAACTCATAAAATTCTTGATTCCACAACTCTACATTACAACTAAGATTATCATCTTTAATTTTTATATAGAATCTTGTTTCATAATTTTTAGCAGATTTATACTATCTTATAAATACAAGATGATATATTTGTTCACCAGAAAGAAGATAGATAGTGTGATTAAAGTAGAATTGAATCTGACTGGGATATGAATCTGCCGATTCATCTTCTGAAGCAACAAATCTTGCTAGAATTCTTGAAGATTTGATATGGCAAGCTGAGAATGTAGATTCAAAAATTTCTGATTCTAACTTTAACCGTCCATATTGAACAATAGTAGAAAATACAGATATCTGATCAATTCCTGATACACTTCCAGGTTTGGTAAATTAATAGCCTATATCTGTCACATTATAGAATTCAACTAAAAGAGTATGAATATCAGATTATAACATGACATTTTCTAATTTTGGATCGAGAAATGTACTAGGAAATGATTCATAACCAAAGACTTCTCCCTGGTTGATAATATTTCTTAAATTATAAAATTGAAGAAGATCTTGTGATTCAAATTTATCTGGAATAGTCATGCTACTACCCGATATTCGACCTTTTAGTATTGTAAAAGAATTGACTAATCTGTCATTATTTTCAGTATGTAATACAATTTTATCTAAATATTTATTTGTGAGGCTTTGTTAAGTGTCTCTTTATCTAATATTCTACAAACTAATAGATTACATACCCTAATGAAGTTTGCAAGAATATACTGATCTGGTTCTGTTAATAAATCTCAAGTAATTATAGTAGCATATATCATTATAAATATTTGCTATTGGTCTGCAGTATATTCAGAAAATCCTTCTCCTGTAGCAATTTTATAAGGAATTCTCCTGATATCTGTTGGAGGTTATAATTTTTTTGCTCTTTTATCTATAAGTTTCAAATTATCAGTACTTAATTTTCCATCTTCTATCCAAAGTCGCATAACAATCCACTTTACAATTTTCAAAAATAAACAATGCATTAGGTCTACAATTATATGTTTGATTGGGTTAAAATAAGGAAAATGGTAGAGTTCTGATCATCTCACCAAGTTTTCAGAAAGGTGTTTATTTCTTTGATCCTCAGTATTGCACAGTTTCCATGCATATGTATCTTTTTAATTTTCTCAATATCACATTCTACAAACTAGTCATCTATATTTAAAAATCTACCAAAATTAGATTGATGTCTAGCATCAAACTGTGCATATTTTTTATATTGAAAACATGCAATTCTTGCTAATATTTGTTCACATAACTTTCTGGCTGCTAGAATATCACATAAGTAGCATATAATAGCGTACTTAATTTTTTTGCCCTTAGGAGATTCATTTGTAGAAATTTCTATCCTATTCTACAATTCAAGCAATTGATTAACCAAAGGTGCAAGATAATAATTAAGATGATGTGATTTAACTTCTTTGGGTCCTGGTAATAATGCTAAGGTAATTATATTTTGAGGTTTGAATTTGAGTTCACAGAGCAAATTACAGATAACTGCATATATTATACCAGTAGAATATACAGAATTTTTGAAGGGACTAAACTAGTTCAGATTAATCATAAGGCCAAGATGTGTATTAGCATATTCTAATGTAAAGAAATCTTTATCTTGATTTTTAAAATTCTTTCATATATTATCATCATAAATATTGGCAAGATAATTATCATTTATATTTCTATTAATCTATTTTCTACATGATTTCTCAAATCCATTTTGGCTATATAATAACGTGAGCTGATCTTTAATATTTATTGTTAGATAAGTAAGCAAAGGACGAAACAATATTCTATCCTTTGTAGGCACCTCTTTTGCCAATTGTTGATTACAAGGTTGT